ATAGACAATATACTTGTATCATATAAACAATCATGTATGTCTATCTATCTCTTTATTCGATAAAATATACAGAGTTTTATTATGTTTATAGTTACTTGTAATAATTCTTTTTTTGTTTATTAAAGGCATCGTGAAAATAAAATTTTGCATTTATTTTGGCAGAAAGCCATCTAAAATTTGTTTGATTTCATGTAGAACTCATTGGGAAGAACTGAATATACGCAGAATTTTGATTGGTCATTTTAAATTTCAAATTCAAATCTGGACATCTCATTGGCCATTCTAAAATACAATGTAAAGGGCAGTTTGTGCCACAAAGAAAAAAACAACAAAAAACAACAACAACAACAACAACACGCACTTATCATGTACCCTTAGGTTGTGATATATAATGAATGCCCAATCTATGATCATTGTTGTGTTCCATTGATATAATGTTTATAATTTGTATATATTTTGCATATCAATCAAGAATCGATAAATATAATTGCCTACCGACTGTTTGCATTAAATTAGAGATAAAAGTTTTTCAAGTAGTGTGTTGATTTTATAGTATCTATATCCTTTTATTTCTATTTGCTATATCCTTAGTGGTGATTCTTTGATGTACTGTCAATTTTGCATGAATAGAAAATTTATAACAATCACACGTAAAACAAGTAAAAGGGAATGCAAAATATTAATATCAATATGCTTATTAAGTTATTATTCAATTTCTGTTTACAAAATGTTTTTCCTTTAGCTAAAAGAAATGAGCGATATGTTCAGGTTACATATTTATTTGATGTTCGGTACAGTTTTATCGTATTTTGATTTACGTAAATTCTGAAAGGAAATTTGGACTACTTTATACAACGTTAGATCAGGAAATCTATAATTATCTTTTATTGAATAAACCCGTATTTTTTGTTTAACACATATATATGCATCATAAAGGTCTTTGAACTTAAAGTAGGCCGTTGCCAAATTACGCGCGTAACCTTTTGGGTTATTTAGGGATTCTTTGATTTGCAAAAAAGGGTTTTTTTAAATTAAACCCCTTGGGCTTGCTTTTAAACCTTTAATAAGTTTTTTGACTTTGGGCGCCAAAAAATTTTGGGGATAAATGGAAGGGTACGGGAAATTGCCCATTGAACTAATTCAGATCTCTAAAAACTCGACACATTTTTTAAATTTCCCTTTTCTAACTAATCCGGGGGTTTACAAAAATAAAATCGGAAAAATTTTATCGATATTAGCTTTAAAAAAAGGGGGAAGTCGTTCTGTAAACCCACTATTTTGCCACGGTCATTTTTGCTTTAAAACCTTTGCTCGGGGTTTTAAAAAAAAGGGTTCCTTCAGAAAGCGAGGGCAGCTTTGTTACGTTCATGTGGAATGCTGCTTAACGAGAACATGGATAGAATGGGCTGTGTACTGTGCCATAGTGAAATGCTTTAATGTGGCTAACTGTCTGTTATTTCGAGTGTAAATTCAAATCAATGACACCACCGAGGTTCAATGCCTGTGAAAATTCAATTTCTAGGTCATAGTATATAACTGTAGGTGAAAATGTTACCTTATATAATGTTAAATTATGAATGCATTTCTTATGGTTGTCAATTCGTTTTCTTATTAAAATTTATTTCATGCTTATACTAGATTACTGATTTGTCCGTGAAAATGACAAACAATAAAGCAATGACAGTCATCAGTCCGAAAAATAAGTAAACAACCCAGCGTTTGTAAGACAGCCTTTCAACAATACTATGTTTTTCAAATTCCTAGCCGCTTTTTCAATATTTCCTGTCAACAATTATTTATTGTCTCTTACATCCATATATAAGTTTTCTTTCTTATAAAAAGATGTATGACTAACAAATCAAAATGATATACCTCTGAATCAAACACAATTACTTTCCTTCCGTGAATACTTTTAAAAATGGCGACCGCTTACATAACACAAAGCCTGGTCTACTATAAAGTCGCCGTAAGTAACGGATATAGGCTCAAATGGCTATTAGCATTGTTAATTTTTATTGTTTAAAACAAGCGATTATTCATATTTTTTTAATAGAATGAATACTATCATCGCTATCTTGCGTTGATTGTGGAACTTATTTGTCAGCTCAAGACATGTAATATGTTATGAGAAATTCCACTAACATGAGGCTATCAGTGGGGAAAACAAATTTTAATATTAAAGTTGATGTTCAGGAAATGTCATTTAAACTTGTTTTAAGCATAAAACAGGAGCCATGTTAACATGGCCATCCCCAGCCGAATGTGTTTGTTCATTGGAAGAATATATGTATGTAGTAAGGCAAACTAATTCAATTTTAAGAGGTCTTTTGGTAATGAAAACTGATGGCTGAAGTGAGTACATTTTTGAAACTCATATGAATACTGATGGCTGAAAAATAACGAATGGCAATAACTGAAAAGTAATGCAGGGTAGGTTATCATTCTTGTGTGCTGCACCCCCCCCCCCTCAATGTGATATATCCAGCTATGAAAGCTTCAAGTTGATACCTCTAACAGTTTTTGGATTAGCTCCGGACAAAAAGTATGAAAAAAAGGCAATAACTCAAAAATTATAAAAAGTAGAGTTATCATTCTTGTGCACAGCATTCCTCCTCAATAAGATCTATCCACCTATGAAGTTCCATGTAGACAACTCAAAGAATTTTGAGTTATGTTCCACTCTGGTGAAACATTAAGTATGAAAAATTACAAAGGGCAAAAACTCAAAAATTATGAAGCGTAGATTTATCACTTTGTGCACTTCACACCTCCTGAGTGAGATCTATCCATTATGAAGTTACATGTTGTTATCTGAAAGGTTTTTTGAGTTATGCTTTGGTCAGAAAAAACAACAACAAAGGACATTTACTGAAAATCATGCAGGGTATAATTACCATTCTTGTGCACTGTACTCGTCCTCAATATGATATATCTACCTATAACATTTCAAGTTGATATCTCAAACAATTTTTGAGATATGCTCCGGACAAAAATGTGTGACGGAGGACGGACAGGCAGACGGACGGACGTTCCAACATTTTGGGTTTAGGGGCTATTTTCTTTGTTATTTTCTTTGTTTTCTTAAGGGCTACTAGCCCATAAACCCTTTGATCACGGACTGAACCTATTGTTCACTTTTGTTTCTCTTTACTGTTATATAGCCCCTAAACCCAAAATGTTTGCTCGGAAGGACGGATTTTCTAACGGGATAGTAATAATGTGGCTACTCTATTGTTCTCTCAATTGTTCTTTTAAGCCATACAAAAGAAAATAGCCACATAAAAGCATTACGAATGAATGAAATCAAAGAGAAAGAACAGTTACCTATTGTCCCTCTAGCCACATTATTACTGACCCTTGAGAGCGGAAGGACAAACGGAGGGAGACTATTCTATATCTCCCGCCGCCTTTTCGGCGGGGCATAATAAAAAGAAAATGTGTTTGTTTGTTGTGTAAAATGTAATCTTAATTCATCACATGAGCTTTGAAAATAAAATTCTCACTGGTGGCTACGCCATTCATGAGAATACTGTTAAAACCTCACTTCATGATATAAAATTTCATCTTACACACAAACAAACAACTATCCTCTATATAAACTGCATCATTTACTTTTTTTCAATTTGTCTTGTTAAGTGCTTAATAAGGTATGTTTACTAACATATACAAAGACCTTGTTCAACGATTGTTTCGAGAAGTGATATACAAGTACATCATGGGTGTGCATGACAGTAAAACAAATGAGTATTCTGAATCTAAATGATATTTTTAAGTCAGTGTCAAACCTAATGGGTTTGTGTTTTTGGAAAAATCATAAGATTCTTATTATTAAGTGGCATTTAATTAAGTTAACATGCATCAAATTAATTTCTGTCCAATCAATGGAGGTTTCTTGTATCGTCATGTTTGTTATTTATTTTACATACCGTCTATATATATTTTTACTCATACATTGATAAAAACATTGACTGAAGAGTTACAGTTTTCCTGGTATGTCATTGTTTCAACAAGTGACTTTGATTATATTAAGATGATACTCCTCTGAACCTATTTTGTTTCCTGTACAAAACTTCAAAAAGGTCAAGTGAGAAATATTTCATTTCCGGTTTCACATCCATGACATCAAGCATTTATTATTAAATTTATAGTTATACTAGTATCCACAACCAATTATGCCATATACGGTAAAAGTTGCATAGCAACAAAGTAGGCACGTGATCAATTGCGTGTAATATTTTAAAGCTGCATGATCACAAAACCATCCAAAATGTTTCGAGGAAACTAAGATTTTTAAGAAAATTAAAAATATTCAAAATTCAAGTTATAATTTACATGTTATTTGCGATAACTAACTGACTGCAGTATTTATCATCACATTTTTACTTCGTTACTGACGCAGAAATGTTAACGTTTGCATAATTATTTTGATCTCTTTTTAGTAATTTACATGGGATTGAAAGATTCTTTTGCATTGTATAAATTACTTTTTTTGTTCACTATGGTGGCAAATTTATAACCAAGGAGTTAGAACATATAATGTTGCGTTAACAAGTCTGACTAAAGCCTTAAGTTAGGTTTTCCGTGTTAACAAGAAAAGTAAAACAAGAAAATGTAGCAGACTTAAATAGAACATTTTATGTAAGATAAATAAAAAGCAAATAAGAATCTAACTTCAAAAAACACTATTTAGTGTCAAGAACTGCCAACACTAACCAGTTAAATAACAGATAATTATTTGGTTATCTATAAAACGTTTGTGTTTGTTAGATGAAGTATTTTAGAGTTTTTATAAGTTATATAACAGTCACCTATCTAACAGAAAAGAAAACTAAATAAGTCTGAGACATTCTGTTATTTGTCGTGTTAACACGAAAACTAACTAGTTAGTCAGATAGTTAACGTGATAAATATACGATTAACTGTTGGCAGAAATTGTTCACTTCACAATGTTTTATTCTTAAAACATTTTCAATCAATCTAGGTGCATGCTGCTTTAAACCCATCTTTTAAAGTTTATAAAATAACAATACCAAGTAATTTATATAGACTAGTTAATGTGTATACGTACAAGATGTGTTATAAATTGTGTATATCATAATGATGATTTATAACGCATAACTAGTTATCAAAATGACTATTTTCCAAAGTGAAAATATAATTTTCAAGACTGTTCGAGTGTGATTATTAGTGGATATTGCAGAAGTAAGAGGGTATTCATTGTAAAACAGGTACGTATTTTTTAACGTTTCTATCTTAAAGTCACAAGACTCTAGAAGAAAACAGATAAAAAATCTATTGTCATACTAATATTCAAAATCTCTCGATAAAAGCATAAAACTGAGGAAAGTATAAAAGTGTCGCTTTAATATAACGTGTCATTATGACATTAAGCTTCGAAATAATCGTGTTTTTTAAATCGGGATATCTTTTGCTTTACTTGACGAATGTCAAATAGGCCTTAATTGTAATATACATCGACATTTATTTACCTCGTGCAAAAGTTCATAGTTGGATTTCAAACAGAATTCAAGATTGCTCGGGTAGATCCAGCAAAAGTTGCAAGTACGATTGTCGTAGCTGTGGATATTTAGTTTATGGCTAGGGAGTATACTCTCCTACGACAGTATGAAGGCGATATTTTATATTGCCTCTGTATATATAGAAGTAGACAAAGAATTCGTTGATTCAACGTGATTATTATGTCACGTGACCGAATTATGAACTTGCGGTCCCGCTGAACAAAGGAAACAATGGACAAATTGTACAACTGTAGAGTAAAAAAACATATATCTATCTCTTTTGACTAAAACAGTTGCTACTGTCAAATCAGTATTATGTTTCACTAAAAATTGATTTAACACACATTAAATCTTTGAACCGAATATGACTGTCTCGAAATGGCAAACAAGTGTCGATATCGCCGTTCCTGGGCGGCGATGTATACAATTAACAATATCTAGAAGGTTCTATCTGTATACCGTCTGCCTTTAGCCAATCAAAACGAATACGTTGATATCACATGATAAAAAAATAAACGTAAAAGACTTCGATAAGGGATGTGTACATTGGCTCGCCTAACCGCCATTCACACAACCGAAAAATACCATTATCAATTTACAAACACAATACCAGTCTTTAGGCTCCTGCAGGATAAACACAACAAATTAAATTGTTTTGTTTTTTGTTATTGCTGCTGTTGTTGTTGTTGCTACATGTCATTTCCCATTAAAAATGTAGTCTAAATTAGAATACTTTTTTTTCTACTTAAAATGGTTTCTGCCGGTCGAATTTAATACTATGAGGAATTTTATTGCATCATACCTTTAATATAGCAGGCTAGTATAAGACCGTTTGAAAAGAATTTAAAAAAAGAAAACACACAAAAAAAAACCCCAAAAAAAACAAGAACAACACCTAAAAACACTCGACAGAATGCTTTACAAACATCAGTTTTTATGTGAAGCAAGATAGTGTTGTAGCTAATTATTTTTGCCGATTGATGCGATAATTTGACGCCGCGTACACGCGGCGGCTAGTACATTTTGTAGATATGCATTCGGGTAAAATTTTAGTCTTGCCTTAAATTATTTTCTTATTCATTTATTCATTTGTTTTGTTCATTTTTAATTTTTTGATTTTTGAAATTTAACAAAATTCCACTGTTTCCAGATTCTTTAATGAAAAAAGCTTTTCTAATGCACAGCACAGTCAGAGCTTAAGGACTTCAAATAAACGATTAAGTTAAGTGATAGTGTCATCTTTGAATATCATTTTCTTTTTACTTTTATCTTTTTTTTATTTAACCTATTAAATAAATTGCCAATGGCCAGTCCATATTCCTATAATGGGAACCAAATTTGGACAGAGATCCAGGGGTATGACTAAAATACGCAACGGAGTACATATTTTGCATACTTACAGGCACAACTTATTCATGAAAAGAGTTAACATGTAAGTGATAAAACAGATTAACTGAGTGAAAAAGTAAGCTTGTTTTATAATGTATCACAGATATATTCAATAGGTTATTTTTAAGGATTCTATGGCCACAAGATGGACATACTTTTTTGAATTTAAGTAAATTACTTGATAATATCTGCATAAATGCATTCAGGGTCAAATACGAAAGACCCTTAATGATGCATTCGATTACGGCATAAAAGCCTTTATAAAATTGCATTAGGATTTAACCATATATTGTATTTTAAGTGTGTTGAAATGCGTCAGATGAATATATCTTCCTTTAAGAATACTCTGTAAAGGTGCACGAAGTTTTGTTAGTGACATTATTAAATCACTGAACTCCTAAATATGAGATCGTGAATAAAAATTATTTTGGCAATCTTCTTTGGTTACTGATTTGGTACGCGTTTGTGAGTCTAGTTGGCGCTAAGGACAACACGATAAGCGCCAAACAGCGCGTTGGTGCATTGTCGTCTTGTTGTCCTGTCGCTAGCGTCAACACGTCAAAGAGCCAAACGGCGCAATGTCGCACTGTCGTCTTGTCGTCCTGTCTCTAGCGCGGCAAACTAAACCGCCCGTTGTCTTGCAGTGCGTTGTCGCGATGTTGCCCTGTCGCTTGGCTTATAAGCCAATCCTTAAACTTGAACCGAGCAACAATGTGACATCGCGACAACACGTCGCACGACAACGTGCCGTTTGGCGTGCCGCGCTAGAGACAGGAGGAGAAGACGACAGCGCGACAACGCGCTAAACGGCAATGTGACAATGTGACAGCGCGACAACACGCCGCACAACAACGTGTCGTTTGGCGTGCAACGCTAGAGACATGACGACAGGAAGACAGCGCGTTGTCGTGTTGTCGCTAGCGCCAACGAGACGCACAAAAGCGTTTCAAATCAGCTACCATAATATTCTATTTTATTATCATACTTTAAGGCTTTAATAAACGTAATTTAAAGTTATGTCATCCGGAAAAAAGGAATTTTTGTATGACTTCAAGCAGTAAATACGTAAAACTTGTTTTGATATCTATAACAGATACAGGAAAGTATGCGGAAATAACAACTTAATGATCCAAAAGTACATACATAAGTCTCCTGTTTAAAGTAAGTTTCTTTATACGGCTATTTCACAAGTGATTTAACTTGAAAATATAACAATAATCCGGACTTTGCATTTACCATCAATAAACAATTTCTTCATAATGCTAATTTAAAAACTAAACGGTATTTATATTACCAGTCATTGCAAACTAAACTTTATGTTAATAATGTATTTATTTAAATTTTCAAAATAACATTGCAAATCATTTTTAACTTATATGAAAAATCGATAGTAAATGAGCTTAAATAGCATGTTGAGAAAACCGGATGTATGTATGTATGCGTACGTGTGTATGTGTGTGTTGTTGTCATGAGTTTTTGTTTTTATTTGTTTGTTGTTTTTTTGTTGTTTTTTTGTATTTTTTTGTTCTTCGAAAATTCATGCGCATGACTTTACGGGATCCACACTCTTTTTGGTGGTATCGTTATTTTTAGACAACAGTTTTAACTCGATAATTAGATTTTAAAAGCGAGGTGAAACATCATTGTTGGAGGATATTTAAACAGATAAAAAAGAGAAAGAACTTAAAAGTCTAAGTAACTTCAGAGGAAAGTTCATTTCCGGAACTACTTTTGATTAATTAAAAAAGCAAGTGTAAACCATTTAAGAAAGATCTTTTATATTGTTTTGCTAATAATGATTTCGCTTTGTATTTTTAAAATGACCAATGGAAATTATATATACAGATAAACTTCGTTCGCTCGAACTCGAATCGCTCGAATACCTCCCTTCACTCGAACTCATCGCAAACTTCCTATATTATATATTGTTCTACCTCGGATCGCTCAAACACCGATCGCTCGAACTCTCGAACCCGATCGCTGGTCCCATGGGCAGAAATGTAGTTAAAATCACACATTTTCGGTCAAACACAAATAGAGAACAAAAGTTGCTAAATGACAGCCGGCGACACATGATTTTAACAACTTTTGATCGTGATAAAGGCGATTAAGGTTAATTGATACAAAATTAGAGGTGTTGTTACCAATTTGTTTGTTATGATAATATTGTTTATTTGTCGTCTGTAGTAACGATAAAAAGAAAATAACTTGTGAAATAAGAAAAATGTACAAGTCAATAAATAGATGACGTATACCCAGACGGCTTTAATAACAGCCGTGGTGCATGTAACGTGAATATCTATAGAATGTCCCTTGAACGTGTGTTATTTTTAGTAAATGACTACAAGTAAATGCTACTGTTAATTTTGTTTAAATAGTTAATTAAATTATTGTTTAAAATTCATTTTATCCCATAATACACATATTAATATATTTTGAATATTGTTCAACAAGATTGGAAAATAATGACCCAATCGAACTCAACCATTCACAATATGCATAAATATAGATTTACACAGTTTTCCGTTAATACACATTTGAAAACACTGGGATAGCAATTCGTAATATTTAAAAGAAATGATGTATCCGACGAACTGATGTACTAACAAACAATTATACTGACGTATGTATCATTCGGCCGGTGTAAGCTGGAGAAGATTTAGGCCTATGTCCTACCTGGTAATTTTGCAACCTCCGTTGGCTCGAACTACCGATCTCTTGAACACATTTGCACAGACCCTCCGAGTTCGAGCGAACGATTTTCGACTGTATATTTAGTTCTTCACAGCAAATTTTTATAGGAAATCGAACAGGTTTTAGACGATTTTCGGCCGAAAAAATTCAAAAGCTAAGTTGAGGATACTATGTGAGTCATTAATTTATTTCTTTTATCGGACAAGAAATGTGGTTGTTATGGTTACGGAAATGGCAAAACTAATAAAAAAATAAACAAAAAAAAAAAAACAAAAAAAAAAGATAAATAAAAAAAAACTTAAGATGAGTTTAAGCGGATCCTGTATCAAAATATATTTATCTTCTCGAGCTAAATTTTCGAAACAGACACAATTTTCATTTCTTCTATTTGAATTTTCTTTCAATATACTATAAAAGTCCTCGCAATGAAATCACAAAGCACTCAGAGGAACAAAACTTTTCTCTTTATAAAGAATAAAATGGTGGTTTCCAAATTTGACCGTCGTGGGTCAGGTTAGGGCATTTAGATTTCACAAAAATTGTTTAAGAGAACTATGGAAACTTTAAAGTATCTGTCAAATGAACGACTAATCCTCGCATGTATCAGTGCTATACACTTGGCATGT